GTTTTAAAATTATAGTAGAAACTTTGTCTAAAGTGGTATTCCCATATACTATAGAGGCATGTGAGCATATTGCTCTATGGTAATGTAAGAAATACTCACAATACACAATGAAAAAGCCACTTATTTTCACTGCCTGTATCAAATTAAATACTAACAGTAAAGAACAGATTAGAGATGGGAGGTGATATCCCTTTACAAGTATCAAAGTGTATCTCCATCATCCTAGTCTGTCCAGCTACATGAGGTAACACAGTATCAGAGGTAATTCAGCTCAGAATAAGTAGTTTCAAAGAAAATCAGGAAACAGTAGCTGAATCATGGAAAGGATGATTTGTTTCCAGGTGTGACTATAAAGCAGGTATAAACACAAGCAGTTCACCAGATGTGAAGCCCATTTTTGTTTTCACAGAATCACAGAACGTTAGGGATTGGAAGGGACCTCAAAAGATCATCCAGTCCAATCCCCCTGCCGGAGCAGGAACACCTAGATGAGGTTGCACAGGAAGGCGTCCAGGCAGGTTTTGAATGTCTCCAGAGCAGGAGACTCCACAACCTCTCTGGGCAGCCTGGTCCAGTGCTCTGTCACCCTCACTGAGAAGAAGTTTCTTCTCAAATTGAAGTGGAACCTCCTGTGTTCCAGTTTGTGTCCGTTACCCCTTGTCTTATGATTGTTTGTCACCGAGAAGAGCCTGGCTCCATCCTCGAGACACTCACCCTTTCAATATTTATAAACATGAATGAGGTCTCCCCTCAGTCTCCTCTTCTGCAAACTAAAGAGACCCAGCTCCCTCAGCCTTTCCACATAAGGGAGATGCTCCACTCCCTTGATCATCTTTGTAGCCCTACGCTGGACTCTCTCCAGCAGTTCCCTGTCCTTCTTGAACTGAGGGGCCCAGAACTGGACACAATATTCTAGATGTGGTCTCAATATTCCAGATGTGGTCTCTTTGTTTTGTTTTGTTTTAAGAATCTGTTTTGAATAATTTTGCTCAGGGGCTGCTCACAAGCCCCCAAGGAAGGGTTTGCAGGTGCCAAGCAGAGTCGCCATGACTGGCACTAAAGTGGTCCTGTCCAGGGACTGGTCTGAAAGCCAAATACTCTCAGGGAAATCACACAGAAAGGGAAGCAGTTCATCCTGCCACCAAACAGGTTATTCAGGGAATGATGAGGGATTCAGAGGACAACCCCAATTGCAGTTATCATGATATAACAGCAAGAGGGGGAGACAGAGCCTAAAATAAGAGATGTAAGTGTAGACAGGGAGGAATGCAAGCCTGCTGCTTGCAAAAGGGGATCACAGAGGCAGCAGCAGAGATCACAGAGGCGAGTCATCCTTGAATACGACAAACAAGAGAGTTCAAACAATGTGAAATCTGTATTTTTGAATGCTTCACTGTTAATAACTTGAATGATGATATTATAAACCAGGCAAGGAAAGAGCCCAAAGGCATTAGCTGTGATTATCATTTGGCACAGTTTCTTGACTGCAGAGGAGCTCATTTAAACCAAGTCAGTCCCTAGCCTGTGCAGCTTCAATTCATGATTTCCTGTTGGAGGTCCCAGGACTCAAACTGACATTTGTTTCTCTTCCTTTTTTTTTTTTTTCCCTCTCTCCTTCTGTGCTTCCACCCTCGGTCTAAAAAGCTGCTGTCATAAGAATTACTAAAGGTAAAAAAATAGTGCTTTGTACCATCAGAAAGCTTTGCAGCCTTGAGTCATTTGGAGGGTAAAAAGCAATCCATTTTAAAGTTCAGGAGTTTTTAAACTGCTGAAACACACATTTGACCTTAGAATTGGGAGGAGAGGAATGTTTACCATGGTAATGGGATTTAAAACCTAATTCCTTCTAGCCTTGTATGATGTACACAGTATTTCACAAACTGGGACAAGCATGAGTGGGAAGGCTTGTGAATTACCAGAAGGGCTGAGATGTTAAGCACAGACTGCTGTTTTGGGCAATGTTATTTATTTATCTGGATAAACATTTTCCTTTTCACTGGAAAAAGTTGGAAAGGACATAGTACATATTTGTGAGACGTGGCTTCATTGGCCAGGATTACACACAGAGCAATTATATCTAATCTTTGTAACATTAACAGCTAAGCATTGGCTTTCTCTGTATTTCTTCAGATATACTTGGGCAACCTTCATGTTGTCCCTGTGGGCAGTCATGTGGAATTTAAGGTATCTCTGTTGTCAGTTCTTCTCACACTGCTCATTCCTCAAGCTGCTCCATGTATTTGAGCAACACGGCGTCCTTGTGTCCTGAATAACTGTGTCCCTACCCTACAGTCCGAACAAGTATCTCTGTGCATGCCTTCCAACCACTCTTCAAAGTGATACCAGCCTTCTCCTTCTTCCTGTGCTTTCTTTCCTCTGCTCAGGGAATGCCCTTTCTCAGGTGCTCAGCAAAGCTACAACCCTCTACACCTTTAAAACTTCCCTGAAGATTCACTTCTGGGATGCTTACAAGAAACTAGCTAGGTAATTTGCTTACCTATTTCATTCATCTCATGAGTGACTCACTTCTTCCATGGTGCCTGCAAGAAACTTATTGATTAAACTTGCTTCCTCTTACTCTGTTTTTATCAAATAAAACAGTCACTGGATTGTGCCCTGTATTGGCCTTCATGGAGGTTGGGTGCATTCTAGGATGACTGGATCATGATTGCCTTTCAGATGCCACTCTCTTCTTCTTGCCTCTTTGTTGCTTGTATCCTTTGTTGCTTCTCATTAGAAACATCCCTTTGTCCTCCAGCTGCCTGCAAATAAAGAGGCTTTGCTCTTCACTTGGCTCTTCATGACTTTAACAGAGCACTGAATACGTGCAGGAGTCCACTTACCTGGAGCTTATTATAGGCTCAGTGTATTCGTTTGAGAGCTACTCCGGGCATGATCAGTGTTTTTGTCTCTGGCAGGTGTCTCCTACCACAATTTGCAGGAGTGTCTAAAGCACTGTTTATAAGGAGCAAATAGCATTTGGTGTGACTACTGACTGTTGTGATCATACTCTGCGTGTTTTTAATGTTATCTAATTTTCAGTGTTCATAACGACAGAAAAGTTCTGTTAGATAAATGTGTGAAGGTTCTCGGCTTGCTAAAGTTCTCCAGCAAGTGCAGGTAGAGTTACCCACACTTTAAACAGAGTATTTCAAGGTATTTTAATTGAACACTATTTTAACTTAATGGATAAAAGTAACAATTTAAACAAATCTTTTTTCTTCGTAAGAGAAAGTAGCACAGTGAATCTTTTTATAATTGTACTGTGTACCATCATGAAGTAATACAGAGATTACTGGTATTCCTGTGCAATGTAACAGGCAGCATTTACCTGTGGCTTGTTGTGCTTGTCATGTCTTTCTAATGCACAAAAAGCAGTGGGTCTCCCTTTTGCGCAAATGGTGACATCTGTATGTAGTGTCCTCTTCAATGGGGCATCTCCATCTGTATGAAGTTAAGCACGTGCTGTGTGTCAGCAGGATCTGTGGGTTCCATGTAAGGTGTGTACCCATGGTTCAGTTGTTACTAGCATTTCCCAAGGAAACGGTGTGGCCTTGGCTATGCCAACACCCTAATTTGATACCATTTTTGTGGCATTATCATCTAGCAAGCTAATGGTCACATAGGTAATTAATATTGCTAGACACAATGGCAGTGTTCCTCTAATTAGTAAAGACTTGGGTTTGTTCAGTAAGACCCAGAGTGTGAAAACCCATATTCCCTACAAGCCTTGCCTTGAAGCTAGAGATTGGAGCTGCACTAATGGGGCTAATCCTCTGGTTACTCTTCCTGCCACATGGGGAAGGGTTACCTGGGGATGAGTCCTGAATGTTATTATAAGAGTTAGTAATTTGCTAGATGGAAACTAAGGGAACTGTCTTTGAATACTCAGAGTTGCTGCTGACTGACTCCCCTGGTTGCTTTCCCTGAGGGGAAGGTGAATGAGGGCAAAGGAAGGAGTAAGAGCCCCCAGGAGAGCACAAGTTTCTTCAGTGAACCAGCTGAGGACTTTGAAGTAGAACATGCCTTCAACGTCGACTTTTTCTTTTCCTCTTCCAGTTCAGCTTATGATACCAAAACAAGACAGAAGGTGGCAGTAAAAAAGCTTTCAAGACCTTTTCAATCGCTGATTCATGCCAGGAGAACCTACCGAGAGCTTAGGTTGCTTAAGCACATGAAGCACGAGAACGTAAGTAGAGAGCGAGTTCTTTCCCTTGGTTTTTATGACAGAAGTTTGCAATATAGGCTTAACTTCAGCGAGGTACAGTCTTTTTTTGAAAAGTATATGCAACTCAACCCAAGATACCTGGACCTGGTCATCTTACATGTAGTGAAGTCGTCGGACTTAGAGTAGAGACTTTCAGTAAAAGATGTCTTTTTATTGAGAAATTAGCTAATTTAATCTTGAAGATGCAGCTAATGAAATCCAAAACAAGTGGTCCTATTCTTCTCGAACTGAAGTAGTAAGAGCGTTCTGCTCACTACTGTTGGATGCTCTTGAAACATCAGCCCAGGAAAAAAAATGTCTCAAACTTGGTTTTGCTGAGTTTGGATTTTTTTGAGAAATTAATGGCAGATACCCTTACTGAAATCAGTGACAGTGTACTATCTAGATGAAAAATAGAAGAACTCAAATAATTCAGTACTTGCCTAAGTTTATGTGACAAACACTTGATTTCAATGGGAACATCTACCTGCTTAAAAATAACTTGATGAATTGAAGCCTGAACAAAATATGATGGATTGAAAACTATCCTGCAGAAAGGATGCTAAAAAGTTAATCAACAGCAGAAAAAGATAACCCATGAAATTGTGTGTAATCTTAAGTATAGCAAGTGTGTAAGCCGTGTGCCAGTTTTTCTGTAGTGAGCCATTATATATTTCTTGCTTTTATTTCTGTTTGTAATTACTTTTTGTAATTAATATAATTTTCTATTGGATATGGAGATAGCTGAGACTATACCTGTACAGACCACCTGTTGTGACAGTTGTGCTCAGTTTTCAGGAGGATATGTCATATATTTGTAAGTTTTGTGCCAAAAATGCTAAGTGCTGTCAGTAATTGTAATGTGTTGCTTTACAGATTCCTAAAAATAAAATGTCAATTCCCTCATTTTTCAGGTTATAGGATTGCTAGACGTTTTTACACCTGCAACATCAATAGAAAATTTTAATGAAGTGTAAGTAAAATTTTAAAATCATTCTGACTAGTTAGTAAGTAAGTATCAGTTTGACACTGGGGCACAGTTAGACAAATGAGAACTAGGAATGATTTGCACTTTTTTCCCAGCACTTTTTTTGAAAAGAATCAATGTTTCTGCAAAATTTGTCAAAAAATGCATCTTCCAGTGGGAGCAGGGAGGGAAATTCCACAAAACACTCTTATTTCAACCAATCCAGTGTTAATCTCCATCATCAGATATTCTGGGGCCTTGCAGGTATTGCAGTTTCGGTGCCTCAGGCTCCCACTTTGATGCTGGGTGAGTCTCCCAGTTCATCTCAAATTACGACGCATTCTCCTCTCACTGAACTGCTGTGGTGTGTCACAGAGAAAACAGATAAACCTTTTAATGTGCCATAAGGATTTTCCTTTTTCGTTATATTAAATCTCATAGCTGTGATTCCATTATTAGAGCTCATAAGAAGCCAATGGGAAAGGAATAAACCATATGTTCATAGAATCATAGAATGGTTTCGGTTGGAAAAGATCGTTAAGATCATTGAGTCCAACCATTGAACCAGCCCTAAGTCTGTCACTAGACCATGTCCCCAGGCATGACATCTACTCATCTTTTAAAAACCTCCAGGGATGGTGACTCCTCCCCCTCCCTGGGCAGCCTGTTCCAGTGCTTAACAACCCTTTCAGTAAAGAAATTTATTCTAATATCCAGCCGAAACCTTCCCTGGCGCAACTTGAAGCCATATTAGTAGAAAATGGAAAAAGAACCTACATGGGAGTGTGTAATTGCTCTTTAGATGCACTGCCTTTAGAAGGATTCACATCCTGTTTCTTTGTTTTCTTCTGTGTTTTATTTTCACAGGTATCTTGTGACCAATTTAATGGGTGCTGACCTGAATAACATTGTGAAGTGCCAGAAGTTGACGGATGACCACATACAGTTTCTGATCTATCAGTTACTTCGAGGTCTTAAGGTACTGGCTGAATACAGGAGTTTTGGAGTCATTGGTTCATTGCAGTGACAGTACTTAAACACTTTTTTGGTATGTCTCAAGAGTGTGCACATAGCAGCAATCATTTCAGAAATTATCAGATAAGTTTTCTAACCAGAAATAGAACCCCAGGCCCACCAATGTGTGGTGCATGTGAATACTCCCCTTGCACATTAACTTCAGGTCAGTATCTATTTAAGTATCTATTTTATTGTTGAAGGAGAACCACCTGCTAGATCATGTCTCCAGTGAACATGTTCTGTAGTGCACAGTGTGTGTTTTAGACACTTAACCTGTCATGAAACAGTAGTAAAAAATCTTTTGGAAGAATGTGAAATTGGTAGAGACCGATATGGCAAGTATCTCACAGTTTTGCTTTGAAAGACGCGAACCAATATGAATAACTACAGTCTACAGAAGTAGAAGTTTATCCTAGCAATGTACAATGCACACAATCACCTAGGATTTACTGTGCCTGTAAAGTCATTTTTTCTTCTAATCGTATCAGTTAACATTTATACAGTTAGATAACACAGGTGACTGGCAATGAAACTGTAGCAAAAATTTCTTCTGAAAGCATTACAATTTTGCTGACATTAAAGTGTCTATAAACAGGAGAAGATGTAGAAAATGTTTCCCATTATTATATTATAAACATTTTCTCAGACCAGTGTTGATTTTCCCAGATATGAGCAAAAATAAAAGACAAAGATCAGCTGCTTTAGTAACTAACTAAACAGTAATTGATATTTTAGACATGAAAATTAAATGTATGTTTGAAAGCATGCTGTAATAAATACTGGCCCTGGAATATACCTACTACATGATTTTCAGCGAGTCACCTGGTGCCTGAGACAGTAATTCTTATTCATGTATGCAGGTTCTGTCAATTTAAGTGCAGATTTTAGTGAATAAAAATTACAGAACTGAGCCCTTAATTGCTTTGTCTCATTTATTTAACTTAATAGCTTAATTAAGAAGATAGATTCTAGAGTTAATTATCCAGCTTGTGATTTTGGATGTACAGCTATGTTGTGTCAAAGCTAAATAATAGTAGGAGTTGTGCTGTAAAGTGAATATTAATTTCAGAAGTGCACTCAGGTGCATTTCTGGCTCTGTTTTGAAGGGGAGGGTTTAGTGGTGGCTTATCTTTTCTAAAATTGAAATGCTTATGTCTCATTAGCCAAAGAACATTTGATCACACAGAATCACAGAATCGCTTGGTTGGAAAAGACCTCCGAGATCATCACGTCCAACCGCTCCTGTCTACCCCCTAAACCATATCCCTAAGTACCTCGTCTACCCACTCTTTAAATACATCCAGGGATGGTGACTCCACCACCTCCCTGGGCAGCCTGTTCCAGCCTCTGACAACCCTCTCAGTAAAGAACTTCCTCCTTATCTCTAACCTGAACCTCCCTTGGCACAGCTTGGTGCCGTTACCCCTTGTTCTATCCTCCATCACCTGGGAGAAAAGACCAGCACCCACCTCTCTACAACCTCCCTTTAGGTAGTTGTAGGTGGTGATGAGGTCTCCCCTCAACCTTCTCTTCTCCAGGCTAAACAACCCTAGTTCCCTCAGCCGCTCCTCATAAGGCTTGTTCTCCAGACCCCTCACCATCCTTGTGGCTCTTCTCTGAACATGCTCTAGAATCTCAACATCTTTCTTATAGTGAGGGGCCCAGAACTGAACACAGTACTCGAGGTGCGGCCTCACCAGTGCCGAGTACAGGGGGATAATCACCTCCCTGGACCTGCTGGTCACACTGTTTTTAATACAGGCCAAGATCATATGTAATTCCTCACTTACATCTATGCTGGAGTCATTACAATGTGTATTCACACACCCAAGCAAGCTTTGGGGTCCCTGATGGGTTTGTTCAGCAGCACAAGCACAGGCTGCGTGCCCCACAGAAGCTGTCTGAGGAGACGAAGCATTAGCGTGGAGCTGTGTGGTTTGGCAGGCTCCTGAGCTGACTGGGAGAGGGCTGCCTGGTGGCACCAAGAGGAGCCCTGGCCTCAGCAGAGCAGGGACGCAGCTCCTTCTGTCGCCAGTGCTGGTTTGGGTTCCTCTTCATTCAGCTGCTCACAGCTCCTGTGAGGAGTGCTCAGGGGTGGCCCTGTCCTAGTAAACAGTGAGTAGGTCTGGAACAAGAATGCCCTTGTGTTTTCTCTGGGTTTTCCCAGTTGATATTCAGGTCTTGCATGTAATCTCCGCTCCTAAAAAAGAGGGTGAATTCACATCTAGAGAATGGAAGAGAAGGTTTTGAAGGTCTTGCTGATCCTGGTCAGTAAGATCATAGATAAATTGGCTGTTAATCCTAACAAGTGAACGATAGGCAATTACAGAGTAAACTTTTCTCAGTCTTTCAGTTTTAATGTTTTATGTAAAATAACAGAGACGCTAAATAGCCACTGAAATACTTCTTTGGGTCCCTGCTTTGAAAGTGAACCTGAAGCAGTGCTGTGGCTTAGGTGGATATTTTAGTCATTAACGTGTCCCAGGATGTGAGTATCTTTCACCTATGTTCAGCATTCCCGGTGTGGGAAGGTGACTTACATAATCTCAGAGTCAACTTTACTGCTCCCTAGGCCACTGTCTTCACTGAGCCACTACCTGATCAGCAGGGACATCCAGATAAGACAGGAATCAATTCCAAATTCATAAGAAACTTTCAACAGTCACTGCAAATGCTATCTTTTATGGTAGAATCTAGTCTTGGTTACCTTTCTTGAAATACACAGCTCTGAATAAGACAAAGCAAGGAGGTTTTGAAGTTCGTCATACCTCTGTTTGATCTGAAAATTTAGTGTGACGTCTTTTCTGTATATAAAACAGTCAGTCTCAGAAGCAAAAAGACAAGTGACTTATACCTTCCTTCACCTCTAACTTCAAATCTTACCTTTTTCCTTTTTGTTTCACAGTATATTCACTCAGCTGGAATCATCCACCGGGTGAGTTCACTCACTGTGATAATAAAAATTAGTGGAGTGTGTCCCTCTGTGCATCAAACGTGTTACTGAGACATAGTTATAGTATACCTTAAAAGGTTAAAATCATACTTGACTGACTCTGTTCTGCTACAGGACCTGAAGCCCAGTAACCTAGCTGTCAATGAAGACTGTGAATTGAGGGTAGGTATCATGCTGTTGTAATGAAGAATGTTGTAAAAGCCCTCAAAATGACAGTTTTCTGAGAAGCTTTAGCTACCATTTTTATTTCTGAATTCATTAATTCAACTGTTTGCTACTGTTGCTTCCTTGGCATGGAAAACCCATGTCTGTGAACATGTGTTTTCTCCTAAATGTTAATTTAGTACAAACACAAGTATCCTTGCAAAACGTTCATCCCTAGTTCCTTGCAGATGGTACATAGGCTAATAATTTGACCCATGAGTGAATACTTAACTGAGTGTATCTTGAAAGTTTGACCTGTGGTATGTATCTGCATCTGCCATGTTCAGATTGTAACAACTTCCACTTTTACATCTACAGAATATACAAGCTAAATTAAATAGCAATATGATAAAAAGATACCAATATTACCAGTTACAGGCAGTAAAAACAGAACAAAACAACCAAAAAAGCCCCCTATAATCTACACTTCTTAAATGCTATTTTAATGTACATGTCTATAGATACACATATCTTTGTGTATCTGTGTGATACAGTATTACATAATAAGCATGAGGCTCTGGAGAAGGAAAGGATGTCTTCAAGCTTTCTAAGCCTTTAAGCCTAAGAATGAGACATTCAGTATTTCTCCATGACAGCCAGAAACGTCTGTCTTCTGTGACTGAGACTCTGATGTAATCACTTTATTCCAGCCATGAGGGATTTAAGAAAAGATTCCAAATACTGCACGATCAGCAAAAAATCACAATAATGAATAAGAGCAGTGCAGTTCGGTTCTCTCACTAATCTGGATCTGTGGTGAGAAACTGTAGTTCCTGTTTGGTTTAGTAACACTTGCAGATGCTCAGCAAGTTTCATGATTATCCCTTTAATGTCTTCATGCATGGTTGTTCAGCATCTGTGAAATGTTATGGGTCATCTGGGTCTTATCATACATTCTCAAATGTGTGCTGTATTTTTGTACTGTAAGTAAAGGAGTTTTTTAATATTTTTTTCTATTATTATTGTATCTGTGGACCTCCCTGCATAGCATTTGTTACACTGCTCTTTGCTTTGTTTATATTTATAACTTTACTTCCTCTGATACCAAATTATTTTCTAATAGAACAAACTAGTGGATATTTCCACTACAAGCAAAAAGAAAATAGAGACAAAAAGAAAGGAAATGTGTGTGTGTACACATTTGATAGAAGGGATCAGCTATTTAAGAAAAATATTTATGAAACCCTTATAAAATAAGGGCATTAGTGTTCGAGTTTCAAGCCATTATTCATGCCTTGTTTGCCTCACGCTTTTATTTTTGCTTATTTAAGAAATAAATCATACTTTCAAAGTATATTAGAAGTAAAGATGTTAATGTATTATTTATATCTTAATATTTTTCTTTAGGCTTTTTATATCTTTTAACTGGATTATAGCTGAGGAATTTTGATTGATACTCTTAAAATTTTCTTACTCTCAATGAAAAGGATTAGCCATCAGTTTAATAAATAATCCTGGATCTCATCACGGGAGGTTGCCACTGATCTTAATTCACATTTCTGTTTGAAGAGATGCTAACTAGGTCAGATGAGTGACTTCACGAACAGCACTGAAACTCAGATGGTCCCCTTTCACAACAGTCTCTCTTAGAGTCGGGGATACCTTTTATGTCCATAATTAGTGGGACTTAGACTAATAAAAAATAGAAAGCAAATAAATGAGCAGGAAAAAATAATTGAAATAACTTCCTGTCAATGTATATTTAGCAAGGGAGAGCATATGGAAGGGACCGTTTTGCCATGAAACCTGTGAGTAATATATGTAACTAAACAGAACTCCTTTGTAGCTTTGGTGGGGGAGTTCTACAGCAAACAGATGGTACGTGATCTAAATCTACCTTGTTACACAGGATGTATGTTTCCCTCTTAGTGACATTGGAACATCGCGTGGTTTGGGTAAATGTTACCTGTGTGCAATGCTGCTTTGACAGACATGGAAAGGAAACAACAGAATTTCTGCAGATTTGTGATCAGCTTGTGTGGTCATTAGATGTTTAAATGGCCAGTGGCACTTGCCGTTACCATTTTACACAAACATTCCCACTTGGCAATGTTTCATTTTTTATAGCAACAGTGCTTATTTTTAGCAAATGAATGTTAGCAGAAAATTGAACTTCAGGCAAAATGTAAAGTTTGCCTTAGGGGGCAAAGGGCCAGGCTCATCACGGTGGGAGCATCTTTATGCGGACCCGCAGGCTGCAGGGATACAGCAGTGACAGCCGATGGGCTTGTCTGCAGAGTGTTGCTGTTTTACTTCAGCAATGCTGAGGGACTATGGATAAACTCAGAAATAAGAAATGGGAAAAATCAAGGTATTTAAAAAATTATTATTAATTTTATTTTATATTTATTCTGTAGATATTAGACTTCGGTTTAGCTCGACAAACTGATGATGAAATGACAGGATATGTTGCAACAAGATGGTATAGAGCTCCAGAAATTATGCTAAATTGGATGCACTACAATCAAACAGGTAAACTTTGAAGACTTTGCATTTTGCTACAGCTGAATATAGTGATAGTTTTAAACCAAGAGGCAACTCTGTTTAATGATCTCTTCGATTCATCGTACGCATTTCTCTCTCCATTTTTTGACAGTTGACATCTGGTCGGTTGGATGCATCATGGCAGAGCTATTGAAAGGGAAGGCCCTATTTCCAGGAAATGATTGTATCCTTAACATAAAACATAAAATGCAATTATAGAAATACTCTCTAATTCTTTTTTTTTCCTGATGACTCAGGTGTTTCTATGGAAATGTTTTTGAGGTAACGAACTTCTAAAACAGTAAACAATTTTTGCTAATCTTTCAGTTTAGTGTATAAGATAAGACCCACTGGTAGGAAAAAAACAGTAATAGATGTTCCTTAACGACAGTAAGTTACATTTACTCTTTGTTGTGTATCTGTATTTAAATAATAACCTAGTTACAACAGACCAGATTTATTCCATATGTGCATCTTAGTGAAATAACATATGTTAAAACTGAAGCTGAATAAAGGCAATATTTTTTTATTAGCTAATATAATTTTTAAAAATAGAACTGCTTTTAGGCTGAAAGTTCCTAAAATGCAAACAAATTAACTTTTAAATAGTAAGTCAATTAATAGGCATATTGTGTCCTGTTATAAAAAAAGCCAGCAATTTCAGAAATGCCACAGAAGCAACAAAACCCTCTCTTTTCTTCAGCGCTGTGCTGTGATCCCTGCTGGAGCATCAGGGATTTCCATTGATGTTTTTTGCACAGGCAAGAGCAAAGAAAGAGCCGTTGCTGAGGAGAGCAGTGAAATAACAAAAGAAAACTGAAGAAAACCAGATAATGAGGAATGAGGAAACAACTGCATCAGGGGAGGAAAGCTTTTAATAGGGGGAACAAGAACAGATTCTTCTGTACTGAATACTGACATTTCTCACTACTCTGAAACACCTCAACAAGCAAACACTGCTAAAACTAAGCTGTTGCCAGGCGCGAAACAAGATGACAGTTTTGCAGGCAATTCTGATAACAGAGCTGAGAGACTGAGTCTCCCCACTGACCTTTCTATTGTGCGCAGCATCATTAGGCTCTGTTGTAACCACAGGCGCTGTCCGGATGTTCATCATCTGGATGATGACTGTGCTTCGGACTGTTTCATTACATGGTACGTGGTATCTGGAAAGATTAATACACCTAGTTTTCAAGAAATAGGATTTTTTTGCTGTTATAAAATATTGTCTGCAATTATGTGATTACATCAATTTAAATAAAGTTGTAAAATAACCTTGAGTCTGTAGGGA